TCGTATGTGCTGGACTCTTAATCTATTGAAGACCCTAAGTTGGGTCCTTATCTCTTCAAGGTTGAGATGATTTAGAATTTTAGCCTGTGTAGGATTCTAGTGTCCAGCCTAGGCTGAATGAGGTCTACAATGCAGGGTTGTTCGTTGATCCGAGCTCCTTTTCTTGAGCTCTAAATTTCCCCAATAGTTACCCCCTCAATCTGGCTTGGCGTTCCAGTCGCGTGGGGACATTTTAATATTTGTACTAATTACTCCCTTGGGAATCAGGGGATGTGAGAGTCGTTGTCAATGTGAGAAACGGTAAACGCCTGACCCAAGACGCGGGATCTTTACACATGTGTAACTGCCTTTCTTCAAGAACGTGTGAGCCCCTTTATAACTATGAAGGGTGGTCTCAATCTTTGCTTTTCTCTTCCTTCTTTAGGGATCAATTCGCTTTCTCCTCCAAACCTCTATCGCAATTGTGATAGTTTCTTTGTCATGGTTAATTCGGATAGTGATTCTAAGAAAACACGATCCAGTCTTACTCTGACTTTAGTTTCTGAAGCTAACCAAGCTAATGAAGATTCTAATTCTACTAATTGATGCATACGTACGTTGCACGTAAACCATTTTGAGTGTGACCTATAACAGTTAATATTAGAGATTTTTGTAAATTTGTTTCAATACAACTGATTTTTTTTTTCATAAATATAATTGTATTTTGTTGATGGGAAGAATTGACATTTTAATTGAAGGGGGGAATTTGTCAAAATCCCGTTAAACAAGTACAAGGCAACAAAGTTCAATGCACTTAGACCAAAAAACATTGTAAATGCATACCAAGCAAATAGGAAGAAGGCTATTTGTCCACTTATCGCGGGGGGGGGGGGGGGGGGGGGGGGGGGGGGAAGGCTACGCGTCCACTACAAAAACACTTGTTCAAACTCATTAATTAGCAGAGATCAATAATTATATTAGTATTGTATTATCAATAGATTGGTAGGTTCTAAATCAATGCCATTTGTTTATTTCTTGAAGAATTTGGAACTTTTTCAAAGACTTGCCCTTCCATTTGTTAGTCTGCTGCTGTACACATAGAAGCCATGAAATTTGCTGCGAAGATATTCCACAATAGCTCTTGAATGAAGTCCATATTTTCTGCGAATAAGAACAATGATAGAAAAAAAAAATCTTAAAAGCTACATTGCCATATTGTTATTTTTTAAAGAAAAATGAAATAGGTCTATACTAAATGCATTTTAAATTGGTCTAACAAAAAGAGTTCAAGTAATCTAATAAATTTGAACGGAGTTGATACTTCCACATCCATAGCATGGGTAGTTAAAGCAAGTAAATGATTTGAAATTCGAGTTATATATTGAACTCGTAATGGTACCTCATAATTCAAAAGTCTCTCTAAGGTTGAAGAATGAGCGTTTTCTTGGGCCATTATAGAAACATAGATAGGGTTGACGACGGTACAAACAATGAAACTTTATGACAACTTTTTCATACACGTTTACTTGCATCACATACACAAGTGCTCTATGAAAACCAGCAATGACCAAGGTAGACGTTATATATAGTATAGAAAACCAACAGCGACCAGAAAATAAATTTCTTACTAACTGAATAACATGAACGGCATGAAATTCAGGCCAATCAGAAAAAAAACCTCGAGAGGGGCATGTCTCAATCCGGAAGCTACAACATTGTGAAACTCAAGCCAAGATTTAAGTTCTTGTATACTATTTTTATTTGGATCTAGATTAACCTGTCAAGTAACTAACATGTGAGATTTTAAAACAGTATAAACTCTAAAAATTTGGGAACTATTGATGAAGAAAACAGATGAAGTATCTACAAACCATGATCACTGTCCACAAAGAAAAAGGGGGGGCGGATCACTTGAGACCAACCAAAAATGAAAGTGTCCATTTGGACCAAAAAATTAATTCCTAGAGTACAACATCGTTTATTTTCAATTATGGGAGGAGAAAATAAAACATTTTACCTGGAACCTAACACATTTCCTAAGAACAAGTTGAACATACCAAAACAAGGATCACTCATGCACGCATAGAAAGCATGAGGATTACTGTCAACATTTTGAATCCCTATAAAATGTTAAATTTCATGTTTAAACCAAGCACTTGAAGATAAGAGAACTGAATTTTATTACCTTTAATGCAAGACAAGGTCGCTCTGATCTCCAATTTATCACTATCGAGCACTCACTTGAAAATTTCAACCTACCTTAGCAGCAACTTGGAGACTATCCACTTGCCTTTATGAAAACATTCACAGTCCAAATCAATCTCAATCTTAAGAATTAAACCCCACCAGGCAGTAGAAGATAAAAGAGAGGATAACATGAGTATTGCTAAGTATTGCTAAGAGTTAGTGAACAACCTACATCTTAAGTCTCCAGTTTGAGAACAATCCAGTGAATGGAACATAATAAAATCACTCTGACCACAATATTTTAGTACATAAATTGCTCTGCTAAACTTCAATATGGGCGTGAACTATTTCCATTGTGATAATGCCTATCTGGGCTGGAACCTCTGTTGTTTATGTAATTATCTCTGCATCCACCACCACCACCACCACCATAGCCACTTCTACCATCGCCCCTGCAGTAGAAATTGTCATAAATTATCCAGTACCTAAAATGTAAAGAATTTGCAACAGCCTCAAATAAAATGCCTCGAATCATACAAAGAATGAACATCCTCAACAGTTACCAGCAAACATACATGAATTCGAAAACACATCATGTGTCGTAAAACAACATATCAATGAATTGTTCTGCATACAAAAGCTCTTATAATATAACTACACACAAAATCCCTCTCAAGTTATCAATGATTATATTGTTGTTAAGCAGAACTATAAAACTGATGATCGAAGAGATTTAGAGGGAGTCAAGCTTAAGCTAGGTAGACAGTAACATAGAAGCAAAATCATTCAAACAATAGCTAGCAAACCTCTTAACCTAAAGGAAAGAAGCACACATAGGGCAAACGAAGTAAGAACTAAAACATCATCTCATTAAACAGTAATGACACACCATACAAAGCTGTGAGATGAATTAAGATCAACATGTAGTCAAATACCAAAGCAAAGACAATAGTTTCATTAAAATGTATATGCATACTATATGCTTGGTAAACCCCATCACAAATCCTGATCATCTATTATCAATCTTTATATTGCATATTTTGGAAAAGCTAATAAACTATACATTCAAACAACATGAATCAGCCTCAAGTTACTGCAAACACTAGTCAAACGGGAGTGCACTTTCACTTTTCAAGACTAGACAATCACTCATGTGATACTCGCCCATAACAGGGTAAGCATGCAAACACAGAAAGAAGAGAAGGGTGTCTGCATGACAACGAACATGCACACATTTTCAAAACATTTTACCTGGAACCTAACATATTTTCAAAGAACAAGCCAAACAAACCAAAACAAGGATCACACATGCACGCATAGAAAGCAGGAAGATTATCAACAACATTTTGTTGTGCGGGCAACTGACCTGTTAAAACAAGTTTTCGATCTATAAGTGCCTACACAAACATTTTAAATGGCCCTACCATCATTATGTACATCACATTAAGATTCCGAACATCACAACTAAAGAATCAGCCATGTTTAATTACTATGTACATCACATTTAGATTAAGAAAAATCAGAAAAAATATAGAAATCAGAAAAATAAGAGAAATCAAAAAAATAAGAGAAATCAAAAAATATAGCCACCTTTCAACAATGCATATATAACACAGAAATCAGAGACAAGCAAAGATAAATGAATCAAAATAACCTAAAAAATTTAAAACCTAATTAAACCTAGTTAGAGATTGAACCAAACATAGGCAATTCACAAAAATCAGAGAAATGTAACACCTAATTTTAACATAGAACATATTCATACCTAATTTTAACAAAGAACATAGATCAACACAGAAAATCAGAGAAGAGGAAGCACTAGATCTAGACCTATGAATTCGCGAGAGAGAGAGATATAAAAGAGGGAGATAAAGTCAGAGAGAGTTAAAATCTATAATGGGTAACTAATTTTTGTAGTTGAATACATGTAATTGGGGATAGAGAGATTGAGAGGGGGATGGTGAAGGGGGTAACTAATTTTTGTAGTTGAATACATGTAATTGGGGATAGAGAGATTGAGAGGGGGATGGTGAAGGGGGTGGTGTGCTATTCTCTGTCTGTGAGAACGCAAAGAAGAAAAAAGATAGAGAGACGAAGAGAGGAAGATAAAGAGAAAGGACTATGAATTTGCAAGAGAGACAGAGAAAAGAGGGAGAAAAAAGTTGGAGAGAGGAGACTGTAATAGCTGAGAGAAGTAGAGCCTAAGTCTATAAATTTGAGAGAGGAAATAGGGAGAGAAATAAAGAGAAGAGGGAGAGAAATTAGGGATACAGGGATACGTGAATGATTAGATAGGTTAATGGGAAGCAATTAAGTTCGGAGGATATGAATGACATAGTTGTGATGTTAGAGAATAAAATTGAAAAAAAAATATTTTTCACATATGTTGGTATTTTAAAGGAATATATTCTTAACACATTCTCTTCTACATTGTTGACTGTCAGAGCTAAGAAGTTTTCTTGTTCTCTAACTGTTGATAATCTTTTCTCATTTAAATAAATGTATCAATTTCACAAATTTGTGTCTCTTCACTTACCCTCCTCTAAGGAGACTGTTGAAAGCCTTGCTCTAAATAAGGTCTGCTTTTATGCGGCCACCTTCTTGTCTGGGCTCAGATTTCCCTTAAGTATCTACATTAGGGAAGCCTTATTCTTCTTAATGCTCTCCCAAGGTCAGTTGACTCTTAATAGTTGGGATTCTTAATTTGTTTGGGAATTCTTTTGTCTAGGTCCAATTGGGTAGGGATACATTCGACCACAATGGAACTGCTTTACTGTTATCAGCGTAAACCATGCTCTAACCAACATCTTATCTATTATTATTTGACTAAACAGGACATAGGTGATCTTATCACAATTTTCTCTCATTAGTTGTGAGTTGGAAGGACAAATTTTTCTGTGTCTAGCTCTAGATTTGAATTGGGAACATGTTCCTACTCGTCCCTATCATGTTCCCTTCCTTTGGGGCACCCTTCCATCTACCTTGTCAATTTTTGGTTGCTATTTTGACTTAGGTGATGTTGAGTTGATCTAGTTTAGTTCATTTTTCTAGGTAAAGCTGAGCCATTATCCTTAGAATTTTAGTAAAGGGTGGTCATAGCCTTGTCGTATAAGACAGAGGATTTTCTAGAGCTGGTGATTGGTCAGTTTTTTTTTCGATAGTCGTCTTGGACCTGCCAATCATAAATCTTTTATCTCCTACTTATTTAGGTAGGATTTGGTGATTAAAGTTTTATTAGTTTCTATTGCCCCCCTTTTTCATACTAAGCTTTTCTTGTTTATAGAGATGGCCCCGAAGATTGATAAGAGAGCTCTTAAAGAGCTTTAGGCAAGGAAGACATCTGGTGGATTTGTCCTTTTTGTGCCCAATAAAGTGAAAACTACTAATTTTAAGACTCCAAAGAGCAAAGAGGCCTTTGTCTAACCCTTGATAGAGTTGCCCACGCTTTGCTTGAATTACGAAATAGGATTGGTCATGGTCTTAAGGAATCTACATCGCCTCTTGTTATTATTAGGGTTGGAGGCTCCACCCCTAGAACTGTTGTGATAGATATTGGCTATTCCCTTACTCCTCCCCAAGATAAAGGGAAGGAGAATATTCTAGATAAAGAGTTCAAAGCCTCAAAGTGGGATGAAGAGCAAGAGGCCCTTGATAGGGTGCAGGAATTTGTTGCTAATGAGGAGGTGTAGTGTGTCTTTTATCTTGGGCCAGTGAAGATGTCCCATATGCTTGCTCAAGCCATTGGGATGTAACTCCCCATTTATCTAATGAGTTGTTTAGGGTTTCCTTTCCTAGAGAATTTCATTTAGTTGCATTACTTTTCAATTGGCTACTCTATCGGATGGCCTAACCATTTCAGCTATGGGGACTAAAAATGCAAGTGCTGAGAAGTTTGAGTTGTATGACAAGCAGATCGTAGAGGCCTAATCAAAATTGAAGTCCGACACAGAGATCTTTAAGGTAGTAAAGGTTGAATATGAGAAATTCAAGGTGTCTCTGGCCTCTTTGTTACAAAGACTATGATAGAGGCAGTTAGTGCCACCATGTGTATTGCTGAGAATTAGAATAGTTCTTAAAGGAGCTAAGGACAAGTTGGCCAAGGCTATCTCAACCAAGGCCGAAGCCATCCAGGACTTCAATATGTCTAAAGACTTTTCTAACCTCACTCTCGAATTCTTCATAAGCGGCTTTGAAGAATATTTCAAGCAGGCCAGTGCTAAGTGTCCTGATTTGGACTTCTCAAAATTTTAAGTTGCGTGCAATCAAGCGCCCATTGGTGATGATGACGAAGATGAGGATGAGCCAATAGAGAACACGAGTACTAGAGCACTTTTTTCTTTTTTTTGTTCCCTTTTTATTCATTTTTTTTGTTTATTTGTACATGTACTTTGTCCCGTTTTTTGAAATGAAAGAATTGATATAGTTCATTTGTTAACAATGAAGATAAATAATTTTCTAAGTAAATTGAGTGACACATTCTTATTACATGCTAACTAGCTAAATTAAATGTTTCTTGACACATGTAATCACTTATTGGTAATACTTTCTCAGATGTTCAGCATTCGATGGACAAAATAAAAACTTTCCATCCAAGGTTTGTAGATAGTAAGTACTTGGTCTCAATAGCTTAACTATCTAGCAAGGTCCTTCCTAATTAGGTGCAAGCTTTCCTTCATTCATGTCTTTTGTGGCCAAATCTCTCTTGTTCAAACCAAATTGTTAAGACCTCACCATTGCATTATTTTATAGCTTAATATATTCACTTTAGGCTTGCTAATGTACTAATTAACTTTACGTAGTATAGTTTGCGTATTAAGCCTTGATCTCTATGATTAATGGTAAATTGGATGTAAAGGTTGAGTTAAAGCATTAGAAAGATGGCAAGAGACTAGTTGGAATTGATTTTGTTTGGGTAAAGATGAAGTTGGGATCCTTAGAAGCATTTTGGAAGAAAAGAGGAGTTCTACCAGTAGGTGTTATAATGGTAGAAAGATAGAATAATGAAGGTTTTGCCGATATTACGTCATTTCTATTGGTAGCTTGAGCTAGAAAAAATTTGTACAAAAGTCCTACTTATAGGTGGTTCACGATCTACCGATAGCAAAATTTACAAAATTTTACATCTTATTCATCAGAGAAGTTCTACCTGTATTTAAAACATGTTCTATCGATAGCAAAACTTATAGTACCTTTATCAGAGAAGTCATATAGGTTATCTACCTTTAGCAAAAGTTACAAAAGTTTCAAAAAATTCATCAGACCGAGTCCTATTGGTAAGTAAAGCATATGCTACCAATAGGTTGAGGCAGATTTTCACAAGAAGCTCAATTAAATATCAGATCTTATCATATCTTTTGGGGATTCTCAATCAATTAAAGAAGGATATAATTTTGGAATGAATATAAGTCAAAGATTTGAAGATTTCCCTTCCAACCAAAATAAATAGAGAGCCTTTGGGGAATTAAAGAGAGGCTTGGAGAATACGTTTAGTAGTTCTCATTTACTTTTTCTTATTAGAGAGTTTTATGGTTTATTCTACAGAATTCACTTTAAGTTCTATTCTTTTCTTTTATTTATTTTAGCAATATTTACATTCAATTGCCTTTACTTTCAAGCCTTGTTATTTACATTCAGTTTTTCAATTCAAGCAATGAATTTCAATTCAGTCTTTACTTTTCTACATTCAATTATATTTCCTTTAAAGCTTCGTCTTATTTCCTTTATCATGAGTGAGTAGTTTTCCTCTGGATAATCTGAGGAAGGAGTCCCAAACCTATGAAACAAGGTGTATGCCCTAAAACTAGGGTTTTAACGTTTATATAATTGGTCGAACATATTATGCTTTAAAAAAGCTAATTGGTTTGCATACTTTCTGATTATTTGTATGCAATTAGGCTTCGTATAAATAATTGTGGTGTTTTTTGCAACCTTCAGAATAACGATTCTTTCATCATTAACCATTTTTCAATTGCTACGTTAGTTCTTTCAAAATTTTTTGTTGAAAATCATCTTCTGTAGTAGTTTGGATATGAAAACAGATGAGTTATAAATTTAAGGAATAAGAGGTGGGACAAATTTTGAAGATTATCATGGTTTTTCATTTGTTAAATTTTAATTTAATTAGTAGTTAACTCTCAAATTTCTCAACTTCAAAGAGCTTTTTCATTGTCTTGGATTCCGATTCTTTTCCTGAGGAGACAACCTTGGACTTTTTGTTCAAGTTACTACACGATACATTTCTCTTACACTTGGGAGCTTTTGTGAAAATACAACCCCTTTGGAGGACAAGTATTTTTGGTGCCATTGTCGAGGTAGCCATTTCCATATACTTTGAAGTATGCTAATTTGGGGAGTGATGATACTTTTTCAGTGGTGATCAGTTTGTCTTTGCTATTGAGCAATAATCGAGGCTACTATAATTTTTGAACGCCCATAGGGAAGCTATTGGGTGGTAACAGATCTAAAGGGGATTAGCCCTCTCATACTCACCCATAGGATCTACCTAGAGGATGATGCGAAGACTTCTTGATGTTGAATCCATTAATGAAGGATGTGATCCGAGTTAAAGTTTTGACACTACTTGATGTTGGAATTATCTTCCCTATTGCTAATAGAAGGTGGGTGAGTCCTACATAGGTAATCCCTAAGAAGTCAGAAGTCACTATGGTTGCTAATGAGAATAATGAGTTGATTCCAACAAGGACAATGACCGGATGGAGAGTTTGCATCGACTATAGGAAGTTGAATTTATGTACCAAAAAAGACCATTTTCCATTGTCATTCCTTGACCAAGTCTTGGAATGTTTGCTTACAGAAAGATGCCGTTTGGCATTTGCAATTCATCGAGCATGTTTCAAATGTGTATGATGGGGATTTTTAGTGATATGGTGGAAAAAATTGTCGAGGTTTTTATGGATGATTTCTCCATGTTTGGTGATTCATTTGAGGGTTGCTTGAAAATTTTGGAGTTGGTATTATAGAGGTGTGAAGAAAAAGGATTACTGCTTAACTGGAAAAAGTGTCATTTTATAATGACTCAGGGGATAGTCCTTGGTCACATTTTGTCAAAGAAGGGGAAAGAGGTAGATAAAGCTAAGGTTGAGTTGATTTCTAACCTCCTTACTCCCAAGATTGTTAAAGATGTCCGGTCATTTCTTGGTCATTCTGGTTTCTACAGGCAATTCATAAAGAGTTTTAGTGCCTTAGCATGCCCTTTATGTCATCTCTTAGCTAAGGATGTTCTTTTGAGTGGATGGCTGATTGTGACGCAACTTTTAAAGACCTAAAGAACATTCTCATTTCACCTCCAACCATGCAACCACCCAATTGAGAAGTTATTTTTGGGTTCATGTGTGATGCGAGTGATTACATAGTTAGCACAGTGCTAGGCCAATGACATGACTAGAAACCCCATGTCATCTACTATGCTAGTAAGACATTGAATGAGGCTTAGATGAACTATACTACTACCGAGAAAGAGCTACTAGCAGTAATTTTTGCACTTGATAAGTTTAGCTCATACATTATAGGATCACCTATTTTTGTTTTATACTGACCATGCAACTTTGACATATTTGTTGACTAAGCAGAGTGCTAAACCAAGGTTGATTAGATGGATCCTTCTCCCCTAAGAGTTTTATATCATCATCAAAGATAAGAAAGGAGTGAAAAATGTGGTGACTGGCCATTTATCGAGACTCATGATTAAAGACATAGATGCTCATATTCCTACCCTTTACTTTTTTCCTGATGAGAATTTATTTAATTTGAATGTAAGTGTGCCATGGTATGCTAATATTGTGAATTATCTTTTTACAGGGCAATTATCAAGTCATTAGAGTCCAAGGGATAAAGAGAGATTCTTAGTCAAGGTGAAGCAGTTCTACGTTGACAATCCATATTTTAACAAATACTGCCCCAATCAAGTGATGTGGAGATGTGTGCTCGATAAAGAGTAGAAGGATGTGATTATTTTTTTTTCCATTTAGAAGCTTTTGGAGGCCACTTCTCATACAAGATGACATCATCTAAGATTTTACACTATAGTTTTTATTGGCCTACCTTATTTAAAGATTGTTTTATATTCTATAAGCATTGTGATAAATGTCAATGATTAAGAGGAGTGACCCGTAGAAATATAATGCCCCTTACACTTGTATTTGTGATAGAAATCTTTGACTGTTGGGGTATTGATTTTATGAGTCCTTTTCCATATCTTTTGGGTATGCTTACATTCTTTTGGCATTTGACTATGTATCTAATAGGATAGAGGATATCCCAACTAGGACCAATTATCATAAGGTTGTGATCAAGTTTTTAAAAGAGAATATTTTATCTAGATTTGGGATTCCTAGGGTAATGATCAGTGATGGTGGTTTACATGTAAACCCCCACATTCGTATATTTATATAACAACATAATTATGTTTTTGAAATATTAATATATGTAATGATGTATGAATGAACTATGTAGATTATAAGAGTAGAAATAAAAAAGTTAGTTGAAGTAATAGGGTATGTTGTAGAAGTTTGGAAGTACTCCAGAATGAAAGCACACTATAGAGAGAATTTGGGTAAAAAGGATTTTGGACACTTCCTAGCATTTGGATCATACCTCTTTATCCTGATGTCCATTTGATCTGAAATTTTGACAGTAGATAGTAGACTTCTAGAGCTACACTAGTGTATTTCATGAACATTTTCCAAATCAATCTCTAAATAGGCCAAAACTTCACTAGAAGTTTTAGAAGAAACAAGAATGACGTTCGAATGTGTTCCAGTACTTTTTGTCTGATGGAAAAACCAAAGTACTGGGAGCTAAGGACGTTCGAACTCCAATGACGTTCGAACGTCAATTACGAATTTTGACCTCAAAATCGCGCACAAGACACCATTTCTTCCACTATAAATACCTAAGGACACCTCCCTAAGCCCCATTTCAACATTTCTAACCCTAGAAAAGCTTAGAGAAGAAGAAAGAAAGGGAAAACAAAAGATTAAATGATTTATTCAAGTTTGGGAAAGATCAAATCTCAAATTCTTCAAGAACATTAAGAAAGAAGAAGGTAGGGGTTTTTTTTCATTCTTGTTCATTGAGACTAAGGATTGTATATATGTATTCTTTGACTCTAAATCTTATATATATATGTTATAAAATCACTATTCCTTGGTCTTCTTGCAATTATTATTATGTTTTAAATAAAGTTAGGGTTGAATACCCATGAAATCTGATTTAAAACCCCAGTTTTTGGG